TTAGTACCGGTGAAGCTAGGCCCATCTGGCAGCCACCCAGACGTATTCCACCTCCTTTGCAGGGAGAAGTAAACCATCTATTTAAAAAATGCTTCGAGATGAGGTTGTAAAGTCATCCAAGTTACCATGGGCCTCTCCTATCGCGCTGGCAAAGAAGAATGACGGCAGGCTGCAGTTATGCATCGACTATAGGAAGTTGAATGCCGCAACCAAGATAAATGCCTTCCTTCTCTCCCACATAAATGCCTCACTTGGCTCCTTACATGGGCCGCAGTGATTCTCCACCCTAGATTTAAACTTGGGATGTTAGCAGGTGGAGGTTGCAGAAACAGACGCAGGAACGACAGCTTCTATATTGCCATACGGGCTTTATGAATTTCCGATGATGCTCTTTGAATTCTGCAATGCAGCGGCCACCTTCCAACACCTCATGCAAACAGCTCTGACCAGCCTATTCCCAAAGCATTGCATTATCCATCTTGACGATATTCTCGTTTACGCTGGAGATTCTCTAGAGCACGATACCAACCTGAAACTAGTGTTGGATCGTCTACGGGATGCAGGATAACCTAGAACCCGGAGAAGTGCCGTTTCCTGTAACGCTCGGTCACCCTCCTGGGACATACAGTCTCGTCGAATGGGGATTTCCAGGGGAGCTTATAAGTGGTCGCCCGAGGACGGTGCTAAAAGAACGAGGTGGCTATGTAATACCTATAGTGTTTTAATGTACCTTTCAGAGAGAAGGCAAGGGTAAATATCGAGTCCGGTAATAGAGTCGGCGTCTCTCAAGCCTGAGAGAGATTACGGATCCTCCTCTTGTTTTCCCGATCCACTTCCCTCTAATAAATAAGTCGAGATCAATCAAACCTAGTTGTTCTAAGAGTAAGAGGAAGAGGGATGAGGAGAACTACGAGTCTCGAGTTACATAAATGTTGTATTAAAATAGATTTTTTAATAATTACACGATCCTATACCAGTATAAACTGATAAATAAATGATGAAAACTAAGACATGGTGGTATGCAAATGTGCTAATTAATGATTTAAAAATGAACCAAAACTAATAATACTGCAGCTAACCTGCATATGTATACGGAGGGAGCCATCTACTTTTCACCAGGTACTTAGTTAGAGGTCGAAGTGCAAGCTAGACAGATTGTTGGTGTACGCGTGTGCGAATGAGTGTGTGAGTGGGTGAGTGAGTGAGTGAGTGAGTGAGTGAGTGAGTGAGTGCTGTACGCAGAATCACGGAATTGTTGAATGTGATGTTACAGCACCGATGGCATCAACAATGTGCAACTAATTTGAGGTGAAGATGGATGAGCTTGGCTCGAATCGAAGGCGAACACGTCAAGGCTCCTTCTCAGGCG